CATAGGTATGAGTGGGGTGTTAAAATCTCCCACAATTATTATGTTACTGTTAATTTTCCCTTTCACACTTTTTAGCATTTGCCTTACATATTGTGGTGCTCCTATGTTGGGTGCATATATAATTACAATGGTTATATCTTCTTCTTGGATTGATCCTTTGATCATTATGTAGTGTCCTTCATTGTCTCTTTTCACAGCCTTTATTTCAAAGTCTATTTTATCTGATATGAGTATTGCTACTCCTTCTTTCTTTTGGTCTCCATTTGCATGAAATATCTTTTTCCAGCCTTTGACTTTCAGTCCCTTTTTTGAGGTGAGTTTCTTGTAGACACCATATATAGGGGTCTTGCTTTTGTATCCATTCAGCCAGTCTTTGTCTTTTGGTTGGGGGAATTCAACCCATTTACATTTAAGGTAATTATTGATAAGCATGATCCTGTTGCCATTTACTTTGTTGTTTTAGGTTCTCATTTATACACCCTTTCTGTGTTTCCTGTCTAGAGAAGATCCTTTAGCATTTGTTGAAGAGCTGGTTTGCTGGTGCTGAATTCTCTCAGCTTTTGCCTGTCTGTAAAGCTTTTGATTTCTCTTTCATATTTGAATGAGATCCTTGCTGGGTATAGTAATCTGGGTTGTAGGTTTTTCTCTTTCATCACTGCTATTCCCTTCTGGCCTGAAGAGTTTCTGTTGAAAGATCAGCTGTTATCTTTACAGGGATCCCCTTGTGTGTTATTTGTTGTTTTTCCCTTGCTGCTTTCAATATTTGCTCTTTGTGTTTGATCTTTGTTAATTTGATTAATATGTGTCTTGGGGTGTTTCCCCTTGATTTATCCTGTTTGGGACTCTGGTTTTCTTGGACTTGAGTGGCTATTTCCTTCCCCATTTTAGGCAAGTTTTCAACTATTATCTCCTCAAGTATTTTCTCATGGCCTTTCTTTTTGTCTTCTTCTTCTGGTACTCCTATGATTCGAATGTTGGGACATTTAACATTGTCCCAGAGGTCTCTGAGGTTGTCCTCCTTTCTTTTAATACTTTTTCCCTCTCTGCTTCATTTATTTCCACCATTTTATCTTCCACATCACTTATCCTATCTTCTGCCTCAGTTATTTTACTGTTGGTTCCCTCCAGAGTGCTTTGATCTCAGATATTGCATTATTCATTATTGATTGACTCTTTTATTTCTTCTATGTCCTTGTTAAACATTTCTTACATCTTCTCAGTCCTTGTCTCTAGTCTACTTACCTGTAAGTCCATTTTGTTTTCAAGATTTTGGATCATCTTGACTATCATTATTCTGAATTCTTTTTCAGGTAGACTCCCTACCTCCTCTTCTTTTGTTTGGTTTGGTGGGCATTTATCATGTTCCTTTTCCTGCTGACTATTTCTACACCTTTTAATTTTGTTTAGATTGCTGTGTTTGGGGTGGCTTTCTGTAGGCTGAAAGTTTCTAGTCCCTCTTTTTTGTGGAGATTGCTCCCTGTGGGTGGGGTTGGATTAATGACTTGTCAAGGTTTTCTGGTTAGGGAAGCTTGTATCTGTGTTCTGGTGGGTGGAGCTGGATCTCTTTTCTCTGGAGTGCAGTGAAGTGTCCAGTAGTGGGTTTTGGGATGTCTGTGGGTTTGGCACAACTTTGGGTAGCCTGTATTTTAATGCACAGGGCTGTTTTCCTGCTTTGCTGGAGAATTAGTGTAGTATGTCTTGTTCTGGAACTTGTTGGCTATTGGGTGGAGCTTGGTTTCAGTGTAGGTATGGAGGCTTTTGGATGAGCTCTTGTTGATTAATGTTCCCTGGAGTCAGGAGTTCTCTGATGCTCTCAAGTTTTGGATTTAAGCCTCCTGCTTCTGGCTTTCAGTATTATTCTTACAGTAGCCTCAAGACTTCTCCATCCATACAGCACAGATGATAAAACATCTAGGTTAATGGTGAAAAGATTCTCTACAGTGAGGGACACCCAGAGAGGTTCACAGTGTTACACAGAGAGGAGGGAGGTAGAGGTGAGCAGGAGGAGAAGAGGGGGATCAAAAGGGGAGAGAGCAGTCTAGCCAGTAATCAGTTCCTAAGTGTTCTCCACAGGCCAGAACAACCAGAGAGAGTCACAGAGGTATGCAGAGAAGAGCAGGGGGATAGAGGAGATTGAGGTGACCTGGGGAGAAAAGGGGGAGTCAAAAGGGAAGAGAGACATCAAGCAGTAATCACACCCCTAAGAGAAAATGGGTACTGAAGATTAGATTCTTAAAGGTACAAAGTTGATAACAAATACCAAAAGGTAAAAATTGACAATCTAGAGTAGAGGTTAGACTCTCAAAAATACAATATTAAGACTACAAAATGAAATCAATCACAAAAATCATAAAAAAGTATGGAATTTGGTTTAAGAATAGGGTCTCTTTTTTTTTACAAGATAAAATAGACCTTTTGAAAAATAATCTTTTAAAATATAACCTTTAGAAAATAATCTTTTGAATAGAAGTTTATAAAAATGAAAATTAAAGGAGTAATAAAGAACTTAAAAAAAAATGATAATAGTAAAAATATATCTAGGAAATTCTCTGGACTGTTGAGGGCAGTGTGGGGTCAGTTCAGTTTCAGATAGTTCCTTATTCCAGCTTATACTTCTTCTCAAGGTCTATAGGCCCCTTCCGATGCTTAGTCAATGCTAACTACAGGGTTTTAATCTGTTGCACCTGTCACTTCCAGAGCAGTTCCCTCTTTTTTGTTTATTTTGGCTTCCACTGTTTGAAGGTCTCTTCAGTGTGTAATTTCCACCCTGACACAAGGGGGCAGAGGTGGTCACTTATTTAGGCTCACTTGTTCAGTCATGCTGTGGGGAGGGAGGAGCACTGCAAACAAATATCCCTGGTGTGTGTGGGGAGTGCTCGCAGTGTCTGGGCCACACTGGGCTTGACCCCGCTCACGGGGGGTGTGCTTTCCCAGTCTACACTGCTCAGGCTCCAGGTTGCTCTGCAGGGGGTGTGCTGTCCAAATAGGGCTGTGCATTTCGTGCACTTCCCAGGTCTAAGCTGCTCAGGTTCAGGTTCTCGGGTACTCCACAAAGGTGCAGACTCTGTTGGGCCTGCGTTTTGTGCCCGTCCCAGGTCCGAGCAACTCAGGCGACCAGGAGCTTGGCGCGCGCAGTCAGCCCGGGTGGGCCGTGCGTCTTAACCCCGTCTCCGTCCTGGCCGCTTGGTTTCCCAGGTGGGCCGTGAGAGCACCGTCTCAGGTGTGCTATGTGTCTCCTCTGGGGAGCTGATCTCAGGTGGCAACCCTGCTAGCAGATGTCAGCCGTCTAGGATTCCAGGAAGACATGGTTAGCAACTGCATGCCTGCTCCCAGTTTGGTGGAGGATGCCAGTCTCTGGGGTCAAAATTGCCCCTTGCCTTCTGGCTCTGGCTGCCGCCCGCCTGCCTCTCTGCCTCTGGTGGGGGGACGAGCCGGTCCAGAGCCAGCCAGCTGTACTTTGGTGTTTGGTCAATCCTTTGTTTTGTGAGTGGGCCAGTCTGCACCTTAGGTTAGAGCCTTTTGCAAGAAAGTCCTCTCTTTTTTTTCTTTTCTCTCTGGCTATCCCACAGTTTGGGTTGGTAGCTCCTGTTAGCTCCCTCAGATTGTCCTCAGGGCACTCAGGCCCGGTCCTTACCCTAAGCAACGTAGCCCGCACCGCCCTGTCCAGCCCCTGCTTGCTGGTGGCGGACAAGAGTGTCTGGGCTACTTCTCCACTTGGAGTTGTGGTTAGGCGCATATTCTGTGGGTTGTTTTTATTTTTTTCCTCCTGGTTATGTTGCCCCCTGAGATTCCAAAACTCCCCACAGACCTGCCGGTGAGAGGGTTTCCTGGTTTGTGGAAAGTTCTCCTCCTTCACGACTCCCTCCCCAGGAAGGGTCTCCATCCCTAAACCTTTTGTCTCTCTGTCTTTTATATTTTGTCCTACCTCCTTTTGAAGAGAATGGGCTGCCTTTCTGGGTGCCTGGTGTCCTCCACAAGCATTCAGAAGTTGTTTTGTGGAAGTTGCTCAGCATTCAAATGAACTTTTGATGAATTTGTGGGGAAGAAGAGGTCTCCCCATCCTATTCCTCTGCCATCTTAGGACCAGTTCTCAGAATTTTGTTTCTGATGGAGTTCATATTATCAGTTCTTTCTTTTAGCCTTTCTCCTTTTAGTCTCTACTTATGAAATTTTGACCTTTCCTAATCTAGGTTGTAAAGATTATCTTGTATATTTTATTCTAGTATTATAGACTTAGCTTCTATATTTAAGTCTATGGTGCACTATGATTTAATTTTTATGTATAATATAAAGATCAAGGTCCTATTTTTGGTACTTGGGTATTCAGTTGGTCTGGAAACATTTGTTTGAAAGATTTTCCTCTCCCTTTTTAATTATGTTGCCACATTGGTCAATACACAGAGCTCTTTTGGCACAGTGTTCTAGAGTGAAACAAAAGACTTAAACATCTGAACAGGGGTACAGATCTTCCCACTGATTTCATAGACATTGTACCCAAAGGCTAGTAAATGGAAGAACAGTTTTCTTCACCCCTCCTTAACCATGGGCTTCCCAAGTGGCTCAGTGGTAAAGAATCACTGGGCAACCAGAATGTGTGACTGCCGTTTCTCTCTTACTTACCAGCTATCTCTTCATCATGCTGATTAATTGCCAACCTTTGGGAATTGGGCTTCCCTGCTGGCCCAGACGGTAAAGAATCTGCCTGCCAATACAGGAGACATGGGTTCAATCCCTGGGTCAAGAAGATTCCCGTGGAGATGGGAATGGCAACCCACTCCAGTATTCTTGCCTAGGAAATCGCATGGACAGAGGAGCCTGGCAGGCCTCTGTCCTTGGGGTCCAAAGGAATTGACATGACTTAGCAATTAAATAACAACAGTCTTAATAATTAAAGGGTCAGGAATAGTATTATTCGTTCTTCATTGACATATTAGGGGCATGTGTAACATCAAATTTAGGAAAAGTCATATGGATATTGGCTAAATAACTATAACCAAAAGTCAGTGAATATGATTTATTTTTAATGGCATAATGATAATCACTGTTTTGCTACAGGGTAACTAGGGAAAACAGGAGAACAGCATACATAAATAACCCACAGTGAGGCTATTTTAACACAACCAAATAATCAGTTTTCCCTCTTGACTATTAATTTTCTTCTGTCATATTAACATTTCCCTCAGTATCACACAGTTTCATCTGTTTTTTTTTTTAAAAACCATGCTCACATTAACATACATATAAAATTAAATGTCTACATCTTGAAAGATATCAGTGGCCTGAATTCATTGGTTCCCAAACCTGAACGCTCTACAAGTGAAATACCTTAAGGATTTTTGAGCTCTCCTTCCTTTCTAATACCTGGCTGGAAGAAGCAGCGTTGGAGCAGAAGAAGCTCTTTGGCCACGTGGCTGTGACGAATGGACTCTGGGAAGCGCAGACAATGCAGAGGGAGCAACAGGGTGTGGTGAGGGTGACCACTGGGACCATGACGTTTGGGAGCAAGAGGAAAAAGTAAGAAGGAGACGGGCTGAGGTCAGGGGAGAATTGGGTCAGGAATACAGGTGAGGAACTCTGTTGTTCTTCCTGACCTAGCTCTCTTGGGGGTCAGTTTGGGGCATGATAAAATGTCATGGACTTGCAGCTGATTCTCACTAACTATGCCTAAAAGCCCTTTAACATGACAAAAAGTCTTTCATCCCACTATAGAAAATAAAAGTTTTAAAAATATAAATATTTGATATAGCTAGATTGGCCTAAATATATTATGTGCTTAGTCACACTCAGTTGTGTCCAATTCTTTGTGACCCCATGAACTGGAGTCCATCAGGCTTCTCTGCCCATGGGATTTTCCTGGCAAGAATACTGGAGTGGGTTGCCTTTTCCTTCTCCAAAATATATTATAGTCAACTTATGAATGAGGATCCCAGGAGTATTCCTCTTTTGATGAAAGAAACTAGCTACAAAACAGGCACATGTGAAAAGTTGAATAGGGTTGAGGTCAAGTCTCAGAAAGGAAAAGAGAACAGATATGGGATGGGGCTGCACCGAGACATGAAGAACTATAATAATGCTTCAGAACTTGGGTGCTTCAGAATGCAAAGTGCATTCCCACTGCTATCTCATTTTGTTCTGGTAGCAATTTCCTGGTGTAGGAGGAACCACCCCAGTTTACAGACGAAGGAAAGGAGAATTCAAGAGGTTGAGTGACTGGTCAGTCACTACAAACCATGGTGACGGGTAAGAAGCTTAAACCCAGGCATCTGCCTCTAAATCTAAGCTGCCACTTTGCTATTTCTTCACTGTCTTTGGCTTTATGATTATTGGACAGACTTCATTTGCAAGAGACTATCACCAACCTTCAATGGTGCACTAAAAATTATAGTGTTCAACTATTAAACTTAGTCAAGAAAAAAAATACAAGTGTTAAGCTATCTCATCCAACTTAGCAATAAATAGAAAGCCACATTACACTGAGTGCACATGGAGAAGACTTTAGATAAAAAGCAAGTCTTTAACTTTTGCTCAAAATAATTTTCAGATTCAGCTATGAATAGCATGAATTATGAAGACAGTTATAATTAATGCCCACTGCCTAAACCAGAATTCTCAGAAAGTTCAGAATTAAAGAGGGTAAGGTGTCGTTTGAGATGTTTCTTCTCTTCAGGTTGTTCACACAACTTGACTTCAATGTTGCCATCACTGAAGGCTTCTCCTTTGGTCTCCTCAACTGGATTCTCTTTCCGGAAAAACACCGCTTTCTTCGGCATCATTGTAATCCCTGAATTTCCATGCCTTCGTGCTGGGGATACGGTTTCTTTTACAATGCAATAACAAACTGCAGATAAAAAATTCTTTTTGAAGTTTTCATTCATAAATGCATAAACAATTGGATTACAGATGGAATTGGAGAACCCAATTATTTGCACTATAGCAAAAATCATCTTGATTGTAACATCGTCATATTCCTTCTCAAAGTTGCCTGAAATGAAAAGTAATGCTTTAGAATGGATATTTGTTTGAATGAACACAAAACAACATTTTTGTTTATCTTCTATCTTTATGAAACAGTTACACTTGTACAACTGTGTAAAATTCTCTGTGAAAAATTCTCAAGATTTTGGGGAGAGCCATCTGATGTCTGAAGAAAACCCACCTTTGTGATGAGTCCTCCTTCTTAGAGAATCTAGGCTTACAAGCCCTGAACGTGTTAGAGGGCTTATTGCATTTCAACATGATTTCAAGTTTCACGTAAACTGGAAGATGCAGTCACCCTTCAAATGTCCACTTGTGTTACAGAAACACAATCATCTGAGAACCATGTTAAGGCTCAGATTATCAGAGAGAATATATTAAGGGTCTAGTTGAAATCCTAGGTGTTATTAAATTCATGTGGTTCAAGTGAGGGTTCCAAACAGGGAACACTCACAGGATGTGACACCTCTTCCAGGGTTTAAACGGCTTAGGGAGACCAGAAGGCATAGCATGGGAGATGCATCTCAAACATTTTTCTTTATCTTCTATAATTATTAAAGCTTTGATCATACTCATATATAATTACCCATCACATAATGATCTGGTTATCTTGAAAACTTGAAAGAAACCTAGTAAATGTTTGAGATTTGATTGCCCAAGTGAATGGCTAAACATTTCAGTGATTCACTGTGCATTCTAGCAGGAAATGAACCAGAACTTCCATCAAACGAGAAAGACAGTCACTCACTGTATTCGATCATCATGTGAACAATGTGGAAAGGCGCCCAGCACATAGCAAAGAGAGCCACCACTGTCACCATCATAACCACAGCTCGCTTCTTCTTCCTGGGTCCACAAGGATACACTGTATCAGTTAACTTTTCCTTGGCAGATGTGTCAAGTCTAGACCTCTCAGTGATAATTTTCAAATGTAAATGAAGCTTGTGCAAGCTCAGTCTCTTCACTCGTGTCTGACTCTTTGTGACCCTAAGGACTGTAGCTCGCCAGGCTCCTCTGTCCATGGGATTCTCCAGGCAAGAATACTGGAGTGGGTTGTCATGCCCTTCTCCGGGGGATCTTCCCGACCCAGGGATCGAACCTCTGTCTCTTGCATCTTCTGCATTGCAGGTGAATTCTCTGCCACTGAGCCACGAGGGAAGCCTCTAATGAAGCTCATGACAGGCTCACTGTGAACTGTTTATCATCTTTCCCCATTGATATTACCCTCATCCCTATATTTCTCATATTATGAATATCCTTAAGATATGCACTCATTACGAGTCTAGCAGCATGCTAGATGCTTGGCACAGGTTAATTTTCCTGACAAGCCATTGGACAGATGCAGGTACTGAGGCACAGAGAAGGTTAAGTAACTTGTAAAGTCAGATGGCTTTGCAGATCAGAAAGTTGAGAATTTAAACTATAAAGTTTAGTCTGGATTTAAATGTAGGCAGTCTAACTTCTGTGCCAAAGCTCTTATTCATTTTATATCGAAGAACACTCATGCCTGTGATAGAAAAATATGGGAAGTCCTCAGGGCAGAATTAAAATGTAATCTTCTATCATATAATTAAGTAATATGATTAACCAGGGATTCAGAGTTTTCTCTATTAGCCATGTAAAGAAGATTAACGTCTGCAAGGGATCTGCACATTTTCAAATTTTACCGAGTCGCATGCATTATTATCTCAACGTGTTAGCCTTTTTTTGGGAAGAAAAGAGAGAGCTAAATCAGCAGTAAGTCCCAAGATGCTGAACCATCTAGCACCCAATACATGGAGCCGGAGTACGTCTTTATACAAATTGGGCACTAGAGGTCGCTGCACACTTGAAGAAATGATAAACTTCGTCAAACCACTAGACTTCTAAACTGGTGTTTTGGGTTTTGTTAGCCACGCAGTGTAGGTTATAAAATAAACCAAATGGCCCACAAGTACTATAGCAATAATTGTGTTTTTAAATTTCTGTTAGTCCATATGATCAGAAAGTAAAGCTCTTAGGTAAAAATAAAATATAATAATTTAAAATAAATAACATATTCTCATTTCCAAAGCACTTTCATACATATCATCTCATGCTTGTTTAGCATCATTCTTTGGGTGTGTATGTGTGTGTTAGTCGCTCAGTCGTGTTGACTCTTTGCGACCCCATGGACTGTAGCCCGCCAGGCTCTTCTGTCCATGAGAGTCTCCAGGCAAGAATACTGGAGTGGGTTGCCATTCCCTTCTCTAGGGATCTTCCCAACACAGGGATTGAACCCAAGTCTCCCTCATTGCAGGCAGATTCTTTACCAACTGAGCCAGTCATCAGGGAAGCCCAAAAATAAAATATAAAATAACAATTTAAAATAAGTAATGTACTCTGGTTTTCAGAGTATTTTTATACATATCATCTCACATCTTTGAGCATCATTCCTTGTGTAGGTGGAAGTATGGATGTATATTTTGATGCTTTCTAGTACATATGAGGAAAGTCAGGGGCTTGGGAGTAAGGAGATCTATCTACATCAAGTGGCTGGGGAGTAGCAGAAAGAGGAGAGATACATGTAAATCCATGGCTAATTCATATCAATGTATAACAAAAACTACTGTAATGATGTAAAGTAATTAGCCTCCAACTAATAAAAATTTAAAAAAAAAAAAAAGAAAGAGGAGAGAGTCGCAGCAATTTGTATCAACATGCAGATGAAAATATAACAATTAAAAAAATTTTAGGCAACTATCTGTAACAGTGACCTCCCCCTCTCGCTTGGGAGCTGGTGATTTTGCTCTTTCTTTCTGCCATATGTAAAACCAAAAGTTCAAAGTCAGCCCATGTGCTCAACATAAATTACCAATGACACTTGATTACATTACCCAGGCATCTGAGATCTCTGGCTACTGTCTCTAAAACATTTTAAACAGGTGAATGTTCCATGCAACACACCTGGCTATTTTTGACATTTCTTTTCCATGAATAGATCGAAGCACCGAGCCATCCCCAACTCTTTTCTTTATCCAGAGTTCATAGCCAATTTTACTGTACAGGATAAGCATCACCATGAGCGGCAGGAGGAAGAGGATGACAAGGATGAAGGTGGTGTAGATTTTCTGGTGCACAGGGCTGCTCCACTCTTCCAAGCAGCAGACGTGTTCCTTCTCATATAAGAAGTCATACTTAATCTTTAAGATAAGTATAATTCAGTTAGACGAGCCAGAGGCAGCATCAAAGCACCCAAAGCCACCGAGACTACTGTCAGGCAGCACTTCTCAGAGCCTCCCGCGCTTACTGTGGGGGCAGATTGCAAATGAGACACCCTTTTGCCTGTTCTTTTGTTATGAAGTCTGCCCTCTCACCTCACTGTTTAGATTCTTGAGAGTTTCATGTTTTCTTTTCTATTTTAAATGGAATCGAGGTCCATAGCCTGTTCACGTTTTAAAAACATCTTTTCCGGAAAAGATACTTAAGTGGTGAAATGTCAGTGTCAAAATGTATTACAGAGAAATGGAGAGGGTGGTTTGCTGTGTCCCCACAGAATGTGAGGCATGATTGTAGAACTGGGGGTTTCGGAGACAAGAGTTATTTCCTCAGGAAAAAATAAAAAATAAAAACATCTTTTCCGCCTTTTTACCTGATAGTCACTAAATTTTCAGTTGAATGAAAGAAAGAACACTAAAATGAACAAAGTATGTATGAAAAAAAATTTTATTCTAGCATGCCAGCTAGTTTGCATGCATGCTCCATCACTTAGTCACAGCTGACTCTTTGCGACCCCTGGACTGTAGCCTACCAGGCTCCTGTGGTCATGGGATTTCCCAGACAAGAATCTTTGAGTGGGTTGCCGTTTCCTTCTCTAGGGAATCTTTCCAACCCAGGCATCAAACCCTGTCTCTTGCATCTCCTGCATTGCCAGGCAGATTCTTTACCACTGTGCCACATGGGACGGCAACCAGCTAGTTTGCTGTTCCATGATTTTGCTTCCTCAATTGTTGAGGAGATCAGTTTTGACAAGGCATCAGACTTCTTCCAGTTGAATAAGTACCGAAAGCCTGCATTTTGTTTCTGAACTGAAAATCTGTATTTTGCTACTGCTGTTTCAGATTGCAGTGATCATGCTGTTTGCAAAGATTTTAGAGAGCAAACCTGTAGCTTTTTGATTTTGAGATGAATGATAAGTTAGGATTCGAACTATTGCCAGTGTACTAATATTCAGACCCAATTATAAGCCTTTGAGGTATATATTATACAGAAAGGTAACTTCTATTTATAAATACTATTTCTAAGAGACTGACTTTTGAGTTCAAAAATTAATAATAACAATTAGAATTTGTTGCTGTTGTTTAGTTGCTCAGTCATGTCCAACTGTTTTGCGACCCCATGGACTGTAGCCTACCAGGCTCCTTTGTTCATGGGATTTCCCAGGCAAGAATACTGGAATGGGTTGCCATTTCCTTCTCCAGGGGATTTTCCTGATCCAGAGATCAAACCTGTGTTTTCTGCATTGGCAAATGGATTGTTTACAATCAAGTCACCAGGAAAACCATAGAAAATGCTAATATGAGACAAACTAAACATTTAAAGTACATTCAAAAGTCATACATCTGGATAATAGGAATTAAAGTTAGAGAATTGATCAAAATTCTTGTCATCTGAGTCACTCTGGAGCTTTACAGATGAGGAATATTTAAGTCTTAAGACATATTTCTGCCTCCATTTCCAGAGTATTATCACCAATCTTCAAACTCAATTGAATGGGAGGCGGGGCGGGAAGCTTTCTGGTATTGTTATCAAAAGCATGACAATTCAAGTTCTGATCTAGGTATTATTTTTCAAATGCAACTAGGAATGAAAGTATTAAGCAATAACTTCAAGGTCTGTACTCCCTGGGAAGAGGATATGAAGGCGAAACTCATTCTGACTCATGTAAGCAGAGCCCAAAACCATGGGGGTCACATACTGATGCGTTCTAAAGCACAAGGAGAGGCTGACGGCCTCTGAACTGGTGTACGTTCCCCTGGGCACAAGCAGAGACCTTCTGAGGGTGTGCGCAGATGGATTCATGGGAACCAGTTTCAGACCTTCTATGTCCAAACTCACAGTTCTCCAAAATCTCACTGCCTAAGAGAATGTGTGGGGCGGGGTTGCAGTGTCCTGCTGGGTCTACATTCCCAGTTCCTCCTTCATCATCACCCTTCTTTCAATCTTCACAAGTCCTATCTCTCACTCAACTGCAATCTCACTACGGACCACCAAAATAAGAGGTGGTCTGAACTATGGATGTCAGGGAAGCCCCCTTGATCAAGGCACCATAAATCCAGGACAGGGCTTTGTGCCTTTCCTGGTATTAAATGTATTTCTATTCAGGGGAAACTTGACATTAGAAAAAAAAAAAAGGTGTTTTGACAGGTGATGAGATGTTGTGAATTCCCATTCACATAGATGTGGTGAATTCCCATTTCGCGTAGTAAAGGGCAGAGTGATGACAACTTTAACTTAAACCATCTTGTTGCTTCCAGCCCCTGAAAGCTGTCAGATACATCACTCCTGGGAGAGAGAGCAGTAGGAGCAAAGCAAAGAGAACATCAGTGCAAATGGTAACATCACTGGTGCTTCCTTTCAGCCAGCGGAGGAATTAAAGCATCTTGCATGCTTGCACTCTTGCTAATAGAATTTACGAGTGAGAAGGTGGCCGTGGGAGAGCATATTAATACATTTATTTGACTTGAAAGATGAATTCATACTTTTTCTTGACAGAAAGCAAATCTGATTTGGCTGATCTGTCTGACAGAGATAACTGGTTTTGCCAGTTAGATTTAATTTTCTACAAACTAAATGAGCTATATTTTAAAATATATTTAGGGCATATGATAAAATAATTTTATTTTTAAGAATGGACACATCTTCTTGTGTTCTATGAGCCAGAATTAGACTCCATATGGGAACTGGGTTGGGTTACTTTTAAAGGTATGGGTTTCCTGCTGGAGATAAGGGCAGCCTCAGAGAAAGGAGTTGGCCACGTCCAGCTGTGTGTGGAAGCTTAAAGAAGGGAGCAGCCATTGGAAGCCCCAGGGATGGTATTTGTGAGGAACCCATGAAATAATCAGTCATGAGAAACAGTAATATGCAGAATAAGGGCATCAAAGCTCTCTCCATGTCCTAGGATTCTAGACCTAAAGTGGCTCAACTTGGGGAAAGGGAGACATCTTAAATTGATTGAAAGTATGGACTTGAGGGATTGTGACACTGCACTGGATATTTTGATAAGGGAACTAACAACATTCAGTGACCAGTTACTGTTCTTGTAACTGAAAGTGACCAGAGGAATGTTATTCTCTGAATGACCACAAGAGTTACAGGACCCACTCAAGGCTTCATCCATCACATCTCATCAGAGGACTGGGAGATCCTCTGATTGCATTTTTAGAGGTGGTAAGCGGCAGAATAAAACTGCCTTCTGTTGTTACCTGTGCCGTCCAGCTCATTTATATACAGTTGCATCGAACATCAAAGTGAAAAGTGAAAGTGTTGGTCGCTCAGTCATGTTTGACTCTATGCAACCCCATGGACTGCAGCCTGCCAGGTTCCTCTGTCCATGGAATTCTCCAGGCAAGAGTACTAGAGTGGGTAGCCATACCCTTCCCCATGGGATCTTCCCAATACAGGGATCAAACCCGGGTCTCCTGCACTGCAGGCAGATTCTTTACCATCTGAGCCGCCAGGGAAGCCCTAAATCACTTTTTAAAATGCACTCTTGCCTGAAGGCTCATTTGATATCCTTGCCAGTGGAACACTGAGTGTCCAGCAGTTTCATGTTTGCCTACATTAATTGAAAAAGGTACAAAAGATAAGTAATTTTAAAAATTATCTTAGAGGGCATCTGAGAAACCCCCTACTGTCCTTGAAGACTACTGTCTACACTAGATCTCCCAGACAGGACACATTCAAGTAGGCCCCAGTAAAGAGACCAGGTCACCAAAAATGGTACAGTGTTTTCTTCACTGTGAATCACCAGTGCAGGCTGGGCCCAGCTGACAGGTGTGGGGGGAACAGAGAGGTTTATCTTTATTATAAAGATACACACAGACTGACACCACCTATAGAAAGTTATTATGAATCAATGATTTAAGATCATTTTTAGGTTCACAAATCAATGGCTTACATGTTCCAGTTCAGATATTTGTCAGTGACTAAGAGGCAGGAATGGGTGTTCATTGGAGGGACTCATGCTTAAGCTGAAACTCCAATACTTTGGCCACCTCATGCGAAGAGTTGACTCACTGGAAAAGAGCCTGATGCTGGGAGGGATCGGGGGCAGGAGGAGAAGGGGACGACAGAGGATGAGATGGCTGGATGGCATCACCGACTCGATGGGCATGAGTTTGAGTAAACTCTGGGAGTTGGTGATGGACAGGGAGGCCTGGCGTGCTATGATTCATGGGGTCCCAAAGAGTTGGACACGACTGAGCGACTGAACTGAACTGAAGAGGCAGGAACCATGGTGTTGGAGAAGACTCTTAAGAGTCCCTTGGACTGCAAGGAGATCCAACCAGTCCATCCTAAAGGAGATCAGTCCTGGGTGTTCATTGGAAGGACTGATGCTGAAGCTGAAACTCCAATACTTTGGCCACCTCATGCGAAGAGTTGACTCATTGGAAAAGACCCTGATGCTGGGAGGGATCGGGGGCAGGAGGAGAAGGGGATGACAGAGGATGAGATGGCTGGATGGCATCACCGACTCGATGGACATGAGTTTGAGTAAACTCCGGGAGTTGGTGATGGACAGGGAGGCCAGGTGTGCTGCGATTCATGGGGTCTCAAAGAGTCAGACACGACTGAGCGACTGAACTGAACTGAAGAGGCAGGGGAAGTGCTTATGAAGGAAAATTAACCAGTAAGTAGATAAGTGGTTAACATTTTTTTGTGACTTAAAAACAAAAGAAAAATCCAGAGCTAGCATCAAACTCTTAGGATGTAACAAGACACTGAATAACACTAGGAAAGGCATATTTCTGCTGGCAGGCAAATGCAGAAAGTGACCCTGTAACATTTTAAGCATTAAGGTCTTAACAATATAAGTTCAAGTAAGAGCTGAATAAAGCAGAGAAAACTATCTTAAAGCAAATTACTTTATTCCACTTGAAAAACCTCCAGTGAAAAAATTGAGATCACACAAATTTGCTGTAATGTGCTTGCAGGGAGGAAAATGATTACAAGTGAGAGGGGTGGGAAAATATTTCAACAGAGTGATTACCAAGCCCAGCCCCAGTCTACCTCAAGTCGCTGCACACGCCACATGGGAGCTCCTACGATGACGGCCACCAGCCAGACCAGCCCTGCAAAACGTTAAGATCATTAGAATGCAACTCAGCAAAGCGAAAGCCACCTGCGCTTAATTCTCTAACCATAAAGACCCCTTATGTTCAAGGGACCGCATCACTTGTTCCCTGGTGCAGTGCAATGGTCTCCTCACATTTTCCACTCTACCCTCAAAATTGTCACTGGAACATAAAGAGCAGACTTTTGGACACAATGGGAGGAGAGGGAGGGATGATTTTTGAGAATAGCACTGAAACATACACATTACATACGTAAAACAGGGAGCCAGTGGGAGTCTGATATATGCCTGACACAGGGAACCCAACCTGGAGGGAAGGGGCGGGGAGCGAGGTGAGGGGGGGTCCGGAGGGAGGGGACGCCTGTATGCCTAAGGCCGATCCACGCTGATGTGCGGCAAAACCACCACAACATAATTATCCTCCAATTAAAGTAATTAAGTAACTCATTTAAAGAATAAAAAGCTGCTGCTGGATAAAGCGCAAATTCCTTAAAAGGGTCCCGGAGGTCCTCTACAACATCGCTTGCCTCTCTATCTCTTGTGACACTTCTGTTCACATTCTTCACGCCCGAGTCCTCTCATGAGGAACTTACAGAATTGGTTTCAGTTTTCATTTCCCTCAGCAGGAACAGATCAGACACCTACTGTTTGCTTGTTGATGGATAACCTAAATATGATAGAGTGAATCCTCTATAAGCTTCTTAAAGTTGAAATTATACTTATATTTTAAATTATAAATTTATAAAATTTATAAAATTATATCCTTAATATATATATATTTATATATATATCTCCTTAAATTATATTTAAGGATAATTATATGAGCATTATTTTCTTATTTACAAAACAAACATGTATAACATCAAAACTTGAGTACTTTTTCCAAATTTCTCGTTTTCCATGAGTTTGTTGAGATTACTTTAACGATGCATTCCTTAGCAAAGAACAGAAGAGAATCTTAACATACCAGGGCAGGGCCAGAACCAAGAGCCCTGTTTTTGAAGAAAATTTCCCAACTCAAACTCTGCTTGCTCTTTCTGTATTAAGTGGGAGCATTAAAAAACAAAACAAAACAAAACAGAACACTGCATTGCTGTAGATCTCAAGGAACTGAGACCCGCTTAAACTGTGATTGGAATTTATTATAAAGATACACACGGACTGACACCACCCATAGAAAGTTACCATGAATCAGTGATTCAAGGTTGTCCTCAGGCTCACAGATCATTGTCTCTGTTTCCGTCCCCTCTCCCCCCGCATTGCTACACACATCCATTCTCTCCTAGTCTAATCATTATTTTATTATGTTATCTCACATCCAATCATTTTTCCAGTCTTTAGTAGGAATTCTGGAGGAACTGAGCCTACCTGGCTTGGGTCGTTGCCAGTTCTCTTGACTGCACTGCCTGCTCAGTGATAGAAGGGCTATAACTGGTATAACCTGGGCAAGCAAGCCTAGCAGGTTCTGCCGGCTGAGGCGTGAGGGAGTTCATCTAGAGGGCGGAAGTGACAGAGACGGAGGGACACGTCACTCAGCGCTGCAGGAGAGCCTCCTGGAGAGATGAATCTTCTTGATTTAAATGCCTTTCTGTCTTCTATGGCTTTTTTGAGTAGGAACTGCCTTGGTTGCCTATTATCAACTTTGCCTTTAAATGTCAAAACTCTCTTTCCTTCTCTGTCTTTTTTAAATAACTTCCGCCCTCCATGTATTTCTTTCCTAACCCTCTTTGCACACCCACATGCTGTTTTCAGATGTTCTGATGGTGGAAACATGTCAATTATTAAGAGCCAAGAGGTCTTTGAATTCTTTCTCAGGGAGAACGTGACATAAATTTGAAAATAACTAACAATTTTTCTCTCTATAGGCTTATCTATTCAGTTCAAACTATTTCAAAGAGTTTAGTGTAGCAAAACCTTCAGGAGTTCTTTATGTAACTCTACTATCCCATACTGGCTAAATTCTTACAGCAGAAATAAATGTTGACTCATTCCTCTCAAGTGACGTATTAGTAAAAATTGCTCTCTTTGATTATCATATTAGTTGTTCCGAAACCTCTGGTTATTCAACTGTAATGCATTCAAATCACTGAGAACCACATTGAAGCTTTAAATGGCTCAATTATCATTACCAAATAAAGACATTTTTCCATTTCACTGCACTAGGCTTTAGGACATTGCTTTCGGTTTACACACATCACAGGACACACGGTGATTCAGAAATGGTTACAGCAAGCTGGGGGTCCAGGAGTGCCTGAAGCACAATTAGGATGTGAATGAAATCCACCTTTGCCAGGCATCTCCGGCACTCGGGACCCAGGGTCCTCACAGGTCCTGCCGTCTTCTGCTGTTGTGCACTCTGCACTGAGACCCGTCTAGGCAGCACCCACATTCCCCACTCTTCTAAACATACCTGCCTGGCCTCTGTCAAAACCTACCTGTTGAAATCTACTTGCTTCTTACCTCAGGATGACAGCTGACTAATCTAATGAATATTAATATGGAGATGCCACTGATAGATGATCTTAGATCAGCTGTGTGCCTCTGCGCGTTAAGGCGTTTCAGTCATATCTGACTCTTTGCACGCTATGGATGGTCGCCCACCAGGCTCCTCTGTCCATGGGATTCTCCAGGCAAGAACCCTGGCGTGGGTTGCCGTGCCCTCCTCCAGGGGATCTTCCTGACCCTGGGATCGAACCTTCATCTCTTATGGCTACGTGCACTGGTAGGCGGGTTCTTTACCACTAGCGCCAGCTTAAAACGTTAAGAACAGCAATTCAGGGAAATCAGAGAGGAGAGGTTTTTAGTGCTAGGCTAGGTCTCAAGGAAAGAGGGGAGGGGAGGGAGCAGTAAGTTCGGAGATGACTGAAACCCTGAAATGATGCATCAATGCCTACAAGACAGACGGGAGGTTCCTCCTCTAGTTCATAAACATGGCTCACGTTAGAGATTTTCTGTGCTCCGAAATGAAGCACAGCTTTAATACTGGGGGGCATGTTCTCACCCAGCATGGTGAAGGCCCTGCGGTTGGTGTACTGCCACTTCATTTTAAAAGGATGCACGAGGCCCTGGTGTCTCTCCACAGCAATGCAGGTCATCGTGAGCGTTTCTGTCACGACAGCGGTGGACTGGACAAATGGCACCATCTTGCAGATGAAGGCACCTGCAGCAAGGAACCAGGACAAGTTAAGCAGCAACGGGAATCGGAGGATTATCTGTCTCCGTCATCATCACAGTGAATTAGTTCTGAGCCTCTGTTTAAAAGTTTTATGACTATAAGTACACAGTGGACACAGAATAATTGAGAAAGTTGGCACTGGCTGATATTTTTTTAAGTGGACTTCAAGTTCCTAAATGATGTGTAATTATGTAGGATGATGAGAGGACAAGTAAGTATCTGGCCATTGACAATAAGCAGAAGAAAATCAGTGTGACCCTTCTTTGAGGAAAAGCAAAGTCAGTATTGGCCAGTTTCCTGGGGTCTAAACCACAAAGTGGTTCTTGATTCTTTCTTGATTTTTTCACCAAAGACTCTCTAATTTCTTCTTTTATCTCTTATTGTCCTTTGACTTCCTGTCCAAGACTTAATATGCAGATTATACCATTATGCTCTTAACTGATTTCACATTCTCTGATGCAAAGGTCTCAAAGTCTGTGAGCATACTTCATTTGATATACATAATATTTCAAATAAAAATATCTGAATGCATTGCCCGCATTTAAAAATTTCTTACACTGTGTGTCCAGCCCCCTCACCAGTGGTATTTGTGAGATATGGTCTGACATCTCTTCTCTTGAATCCACCCTGCTCACCAATACCAAATTAATTACTTTGAACTATCTGAAAAGCATAAGCTCAGGGAGTATAAAAAGTTGGAAGAGACTTCAGTTCACTTGCTCTAACCAGAGATCTCTTCTCCTCCTCTCCCAAATGCTCTGCCTGGCTCTGCTTAGAGACCTAAGGAAGGCCTCCTTGTTGGCACATCCTCACTTCGGGTCTTCACATGGCTTTTCCTTCTGCTTGGAATGTTCTTCCCCAGAATAGTGCTCACACCCTTCAGCGAAGTCTTTGCTCGGATGTCACCCTCTCAATGAGGCTGACCTACCAGAACAACCCTGTTGCCACTACAGCATGTCCCTTGCCACCTCCTCTCATTCCTCCTCTCTTATTCTATCTTTTCCCTTAATTCTTCCAATCCCAACATGCTATGCAATTTACTGACTTGTTTTGCTGTTTATTGAAAGTTTCCCCACCCCTGTGCATGCATGCTTGGTCGCTTCAGTTCACGTCTGACTCTTTGTGACCCTATGGACCTTAGCCCGCCAGGCTCTGTCCATGGGATTCTCCAGGCAAGAATCCCGGAGTAGGTTGCCATGCCCTCCTGCAGGGGACCTTCCTGACCCTGTGTCTTCTTCTTCTCCTGTGTCTCCTGCATTGGCAAGTGGGTTCTTCACTGCTAGCGGCACCTGGGAAGCCCTTCCCCACCCCTACTAGGATGCAAACACTCTGAGAGTACAGGTTTTTGTCTCTTTTTGCACTGATGTGTTCCAAGCACTGAGAATGGCACATGGAAGGCTCTCAACTGGCATTCACTCTGAAGAGGATGAGTGACTAGCAAGCTCTTAACCTTGTTAAACTGACATCATTCAACTTTGGAGAGGCTCTCACTGGGAAAAGGATCTTTCACTAATTCCATCCACTTCTTCTAATTTTTCTTTCTGAGAGTCCTAGAATTAACCAACTATATTTCCCAAATAGCAACTCTTCATATATTTAAAAGATACTTTTATGTCACTCTTAAGTCTTCTCCAGTTGCCCCAGTTATTCCTCATGACATGCTCTTCAGATCTTTCAACTCCCTGGACACCTCCCATTGAACTTTCTCCAGTTTGTGACTATGTGGCCTAGAAGGGAACCACCATGCTCAGGATGTGGCCTGGACAAGGCAGAAATAGAGCTGTACTGCTCCCTTGGGTCTGAACATCCTCTTCTGTGAGAATAACTGAAATACACATCAGCCCTTTATGCTAGAATTTTCAAATAGTTGGTGTCTGTTGAATGAACTTGAAGTCAATTTGAAATGAATTGGCTCCATTTAACAGAAAATTTCTGTTAACTCATTTCCTTAATTTCCATCCTGTGATTTAGGTAAAAAAAAAAAAAAAAGACCTAATATTGCTAGAGATACTTCCATTCTAATCCTTCTTGGAAGCTCCACATGGCAACCTAAGAGCCTGTCCCACACACTCCCAATCTCTGTTCCAGCCCCTCAAATTCCGACCCTGTTCAAAGTTAAGGACCATCCTTTCCAGCAAGACAGTTTTGAGCTAAATGCAGTAATTTATCAATACTTTCAGTACCCATATATTTCACTACTTGAACACTGACCATATTGTGAATGAAACAGCTTACCTCAAATCCTGTTTTGGATGTGACATTTGAATAAATGAATATATGACAAAATTATTCATCTGGGTATTTCTCCTTTTTTTTTTTTTTTTTTTGAGAATTTGATCAGAATTTCCTTGATTCTTTCAGAACAAAATTTGGACAGGCTAATGCTAAAGAAATACCAGAAGAGATTTCCCATGAAATGGACATGGATCCATTATCAACACATTTTAGATATAACTACCCAAACAAAAATGATTGTTGTAGTGTTATCTCATTGTAATGCTATCCATCCTAAATCTACTCAACATGTCCATCACAATGGTATGGAAAAGTGGTCAGCTGATTGCCTGATACTAGGATACACTCTGATCTTGATTCATCTAACTTATTAGTTAGTTACTCTAAACTTCCATTTCATCACTTTTGTAAAAAAGACCTAATAATACCCATCTGTTACAGGACCAAAGTTTGTACTTCATAAAATGACATAAACATCCAGTACAAGAATAAATGGCAGCCCGATTAAAAGAACTTGTGGTAAATTCAGTACATGTGGAACTGATAGATTCTTTGTGGCTAAATGTCCCATTAAAGAACATATATTTCAATAGCATATTTTGCAGATAAATATATTGCAGCTCAAAGGAGATGTGATTTGCTCATGTCCAGAGAGCTGTTTAGTGACAAAACGAAGGCATGAATCCAGGTTGTCTGACTCCAGCTCTTTCCACTACGTCACCTTCACTTATCTGAACACATCCATGCTATGTGGCTGTTTTCTTGTCTACATGCTCAAAATTCATCTGTTTAATGATCCATTTGAAAATTTTGTACCAAGATGAGTTCTGTAATCTGTCCCTGTAAACTTTTTATGAACCTAGACAGCATTTTCCCAACTCATTACTTCTGACATTTCTCCAATTAACTTTCTAAGAAGCTACTGAGAAGTTTTTTTGATCACACCTCCAACTGTCTTCAGTGTTGTGGCATATAATTTATCTGCCTGGAAGATAAGAGTTGTTTTAAAAATAGGTAGATACTCTTTTGCTATTTACCCACTTATACCAGATCTTTATTTTCATTCTAGCCATTTTTGTTTTGCCCTTTTTAATTTGGAGTTCGCTTTCCAAGATCGGGAAGACTTTGAGAGCTTTGCTTTCTCCCTCTGCCTTTCATTGAATTTCATCAATGGCCTTCCCTTTTGTTTTCAGCTCCTAGTTCTAATGACGAGTGTTTCTGATGACTCTACAGTTGGCCTGTTCTACACCTCAGCCTTCCCAGTGTGAACTGAACAGGTCTGTTATTTTGCGAGAACGTGTCCCTTATGACACTTCTTTCCACCAATGGCAATTTTAAACTGGGATAATAACCCTAGAATTTCCTATAGAGGGCATTGTTTTCATGGGATATCCTTCCCTTTTGTTCTTAAGGGATTATCTGATCTTAATATAACAGCTGTGTTTCTTAGAGCCTGCCTGAATGGCTATTTCTCTTATTTTTAAAATGTGAATTATGATTATTTATATTTATTTATTTAGTGAGCCCCGTGGCTTGTGGGTCAGTTTTCTGACCAGGGATCAAACCTGGGTCCTGGCAGTGAAAGTTCTGAGTCCAAACCTCTAGACTGCCAAGAAATTCCCTATTTCTCGCATTTTGATTGTTTACCATCCACCTTCATTTCCTAATAGAAGTACAATTTTTGCTGGTGCATGAAGTCTCTTCTACGTGGGAAGGTTACAGAAGAGGCCCTATGAGAGAAGACAAGGCAAACGCAGGATGCATTCTCTCAAAGAATCTATCGGCTCCAAACATGCCACATTTATCTCAGTTCTTTTAACTTGCTGAGAGAATGCAGTGAAGATGGAAGGGAGATTTGAGGTGGTGGGCCCTGTGCTCACCAGATCATGAGCATTAACAGAACACTGTTTAATTATGGCTGCTCACCTCTGTGCACCCTGCCTGTTGCAGGTCCTTCCTACAGATTCACTGATCCCATGAGCCTCCAACATCTTTCTGGTATATCCCCTTCTCTTAAGCTACTTTGCTATCAACTGTAGACCAAGTAAACTTATTTGGCTACTTCCCTTTCATCACTTTTTCTCTGGAAGGTAGAGCTCCTAAAATGTAGAAGGTCAGCATTCCTTCTGGGTGTATTGTTAAGGCTTAGATAGAGTCCAAATCCTACTCTTACAGTTTGCTTCCATTGTTGTTCCATTTCTACTACATCAAATTCTTGCCCAAGAATTTACAATAATTCTCCTTTGCCTATTGGACTAGGAACAAATTTTTTGATTAAATATTTATTTCCTTTTTTATTTACTGCCTTCTTTCCTGGTGGATCCCACCTGCAATGCGGGAGACCTGGGTTCAATCTCTGAGTTGGGAAGACCCCCTGGAGGAGGGCATGGCAATTCACTCCAGTATTCTTGCCTGTAGAATCCCATGGACAGAGGAGCCTGGCGGGCTACAGTCCATGGGGCCGCAAGAGTTGGACACGACTGAGTGACTAAGCACAGAAAGCCTTCTTTTTACCACCTTTTTATACAACTTAATTTTCCAGAAAATGAACTCTTTGCTCTGGATATGAATGATATCCACTCTTTTACTTACCCACACCTGTCCTCACCTCCTACCATATGCAATGTAGGTCTCAATGATTCAAATTGAAACAAGATCTCATTATATCTAAAAATGATACTTGGAAATTGAAAACAACTTGGCTAATATTTGTTTTCATGCTTGGGTAATAGTGACTTTAAAAAGGATCC